AATGTCATTAACAATCTGTTCACTTACTTGTTCTGTTTGCTGTTTGGACAATGTACATATTTGAGCCCCAGGTGTAATGGCTTTTGAACCTACCGAAATACTAAAGGTTATGGTAAAAACTCATTTCCCTGGTTGTATTGTTTCTGAAGTGCAGCAGGAGGAGGTGAGTCCAGAGCGGCCTAACCTGGGCCGTCGTGCCACTCATTCTATGTGGAGCACTGCTTGCCGCATAGTCACCTTCAGCAAGGTAAGATGGGCTGTTGGCTTATTACGACCCTTCAAATCGCCGGGTCCTGATGAGGTAAGACCTGTTTGTTTGCAGGAGGGTCTTGATACAATTATACACCCACTCTGTAAACTTTTCAGAGCTAGCTTAGCGTTAGGACACATTCCCTTAGGGTGGTGTAATTCGCGTATCGCATTTATTCCTAAACCAGGAAGGGATAGTTACACTGACCCTAAGTCATTCAGACCCATTTCTCTATCTTCTTTCTTTCTTAAGATCCTAGAGAAGTTGGTCTCAAGATATATGATGGATACAGCTCTTAGGACACATCCTTTACATATTAATCAGCATGCGTATGTCTCAGGAAGATCATGCGAGACTGCGTTGCACCAACTTGTAAGCAAGATTGAGAAAGCTCTAGAGAGCAGTGAAGTGGCCCTGGGTGCCTTTCTCGATATTCAAGGTGCTTTTGACAATACTGGTACTCCAGCGATTCTTAATGCGGTGAGAGCAAGAGGTTTTCACGGTATAATATGTAGATGGATTGAATCCTTGCTTCTCAGTAGGAAGGTTAGGCTCTCACTCCACAATGATACGATCGAGGCAAGAACTACTCGAGGATGTCCTCAGGGGGGGGTTCTTTCTCCTCTACTTTGGAATTTGGTAGCAGACGACCTTATAAGGACCCTCAACGAAAGTGGGGTTTTCGCCTTAGGTTATGCTGATGATGTTGCAATCCTTGTGGTTGGAAAGTTCCACGGAACCATAACTGACCTTATGAATAGAGCTTTAAGGGTAGTGGACCGTTGGTGCCAGGATGTTGGGCTCTCTATAAATCCCAGGAAAGTTGTAATGGTACCCTTCACAAGAAGGAGGAAACTGGACGGGATCGGCCCACTAAGACTGCAGGGTACTGTAATAGAGCTGCAGAATCAGGTGAAGTATCTTGGTGTAATTTTGGACAGATCACTTCACTGGGGACCACACCTTCAAAAAGTCATTGAGCGTGGCAAATGGTCCCTTATGGCATGCAGGCGGATGGTAAGTGGCACATGGGGGTTACAGCCTAAACTTATGCACTGGCTGTATGTATCTGTTGTTCGACCCGCCCTTACATATGGTTCGCTTGTGTGGTGGCCAAAGATGGAATCAACTATAGCTGTCAAAGCTTTAGCAGGAGTTCAGAGGCTTGCTCTTATTATGATAACTGGGGCAGTAAGTAGCTGTCCTGGAGCGGCACTTGACTGTCTGCTTGACATGCTACCTATTGACATTTATATTAAGGTGGTAGCAAGTAAAACAGCCCAACGCCTTAGATGCGAAAACTTATGGATAGCCTCAGGGAACAATAAAGGGCACTCTAAAATTGTTCAGGTGGTACATAATGATGAATTGGACTTACCTTCAGATCACATGTCCAAAAAATACTCCTTTGGAAAGCCTTTCAAAGTACTAATACCAGATAGGAAGGATTGGTCTGGCGGAAAAGGACCCATACCCACAGGTGACTTAGAATGCTATACTGATGGTTCTAAGATCAAAAATGGGGGCACTGGAGCAGGTGTGCATTGGATGAATGGAGGCAATGGTATTTGTCTTCCAATGGGGGTGTACCCAACTGTCTTTCAAGCGGAGGTCACTGCCATTCTAGTTTGTGCTCAAGAACATCTTAACAAAGATATCAGAGACAAAACAATCAATATCTTTACTGATAGTCAAGCGACCTTAAAAGCATTAAACTCTTACGAATTCAACTCCAGGCTCGTGTGGGATTGTCTTGCTTCTGTGTCTGAGTTGGGTAGGAGAAATGACCTTACGCTTTGCTGGGTACCAGGACACTCTGGCATTGAAGGAAATGAAGCTGCAGACAGATTGGCAAATACTGCCTCTGCGACATCATTGTTAGGCCCGCAACCCTTCTGTGGCATCTCACGAAACAGTGTATGTTCTGCGATTGCGTCATGGGCCAAGGAAAAGCATCGCAAACGCTGGGTCGATGTTCCCCTTCTTAGGGTCAGCAAGCTTACTCTGTTTAGGCCTTCCAAAAAGGTTGCCTGTGACCTCTTGAGACTAGACAGACGAAGAATTAAATTAATTGTTGAACTGATAACTGGTCATGGAAGATTCAGGAAACATCTACAACGGATGGGCTTATATGATGGTGAACCGATCTGTAGGTACTGTGATAGGTCAGAAGAGACAGCTGATCACTTACTCTTTGATTGTATTGAGCTCTCTGACGCTAGATCGATAACTCTTGGAAATATGGCTAGAGGTAGATTTCTTCCTGAGGATGAACTAATTGGGAAGCTACAGGCATTCATTGGGCGCCTCAACTTGTAGGTCAACAAGAAAGCAATTAAGTATCTGGGGTGCGCAATAATTCGATTTCGGATGAAGTGCTTTAAGGTCTCGACCTGCCCCTGTTAGATAAGAATAAGATAAGAGCCCCAGGTGGCAGTGGTAAGTTAAAATCAAGAACCCAGTCTAGGCCGAACAAAGGTATATCGTTTTTCTTAACAACAATTACCGGTAACTTACGTTTAGAACCAAAAGCTTCAACTGAAACATACGTTTTACCCATAGTTTTAATTAGAACTCCTGTGTATGCATTAAGATTTTCTGTGGGAAATAGTTTAGGAGTTCCTAGATCTCGCCATATGTTTCTGCTAATGATACTGAACGCTGCACCTGGGTCATACAACATTGAAATTGTATGATTGTTTAACTTGACTGAAAGCATTACTTTCGACCCTTTATTAATCGCTTGGATTTGATCTGTATCAGAAAAAGATTTAACACTAGAGTTACAAGACGAGTTTTTTGCCTCTAACATGTTAAGTCGCTTACCTTTGATAATGACTGCATTACCCACTTTAAGACAAGTGCGTGCAAAATGATTCAGTCCTCCACAGGCGTTGCAAGTGGCATCGACAGCGGGACAGCTCGTTCCTTGTGTATGTTTCTTGTAACCACACCGAATGCAGTCAGTTCTCTTGTTAAGATGTAAGATGTTTTGTTTCGAAGTGTTTCCTTTTGTTTCTTGTTTCAACGGTATCGTTTCGAAAGCATTCTTCTTGTTCCTGTTGCTTATTCTGTTGACTGAACGTGTATTACGGAATTGTGACTGTTGATTGTCAAACATTTTCCAATAAAGTAGCGGCGTTTGTGACTTGTTCAAATGTAGTATCTGTCGTAGCATGTAAGCGCAAAAGTTCAAGTTGCCAGCGATCATTGTTGATGCCCAGAACAAACTGATCTCTCAGCCGTTCGTCTAAGTTGTCACTAAAGTCACAGAGACCTGCAATTTCGCGCAAAGCAAATTCGAAATGACTAACAGATTCACCTTCTTGTCTGAAACGGCGACTAAAGATAACCCGCTGTGATAGTGGTGCGGATTTTTGTGTGTAGTATTTCTAAAGTATATCAATAACTCCTGTAAAGTGAAGATTACTGACGGGATCAGGTCGTGCGTGGTCAAATACTAGCTTGTAGTACTGTGAGTTAATTATGTAAAGTAATAAGACATTTTCGTAAGAAAAGTTATATTTGAAACACCAAGTAACTATGTTGTTATGTCAAACGTAAACAAACAACAATGTAAACAAAGTATTGAAAACACATTTAAATTGTATCAGCTGATTCAGTACACTACATGTAAAATATAAGTTACATAACTTCTTGGTCAGCATTGTACGTGTTATTAAATTTACGGAAAGTAAATACAAGATACGTCTAATTACAATTAATACGCCCATAATGTTAACTCATAAGACGGTAAATATTCATAAAAGATGGTGAGGGGTCATTGATTTCGATTGGACACTCCAATCGTAATCAGACCCAATAGGCAAATGAGGACGGTCTGATGATGATTGTAGTATTCAATCGAAATCAAACACCACTTCTCATCTTCAGGTATATTTACCATCTTGTGAGTTAACATTATGAGCGTAAATATATGTTTTAGGTGTTATTACACGTATATTTTATTTACTTTCCATAAATATAAGTTCATTAATAGCGGAAAGAGTCTAAACAACCCGCGAGAAAGAGGAATTGTTGCTCAATTGGTTTAACAATTTTGGATGACAAGGGTGCAAGCATAATACAAAAAAGGAATGGAGTGTTTCGTGTAATTAATATATAATAATTGAACACTTCATAGGGACTACATTTAATAGGTATTGATATTTTATTACCTTTTTAGTAGGGTGTGTCAGAGACTTTGTACTGCAGTCAAGTTACTTAAGTTTGATGACAATAATTTAATCGAGGGTTGCTGAGGTAATTTCTGTTCCCTTCCTCATCACGATAAGTCCTATATACTATAGTACGTCGTTCATATATGTATATTAAACAGATACAACAATTAATACGTTATTTAAGAATATACGAAGTAAATCATGCGCATACAGGAAAATATGTAATAGATAAGAATATTAGAAAATATAGGAAAATGGAGACAGGAAAATCATCTGATTGCATGAAATAATAACAGTGCTTACATGTTTAATCTACCAGGTGTTGATTGAATGTTTTCATCAGATCCTATCATCATACTTTTACATCAGTATTACACGTTGAAAAAGGTAAAGCGATGAATTTAGAATTTTTAATTTATTATGGAATACAGTAGGCCTACCTTTTAACAAATTATGAACATTACCTTATTAAGAAACGTCTATTCAATGGTTAAGCATATTTTACTGTTATAACATTGTTTGATCTATACAATACTATATATTGAATTAGTCATGACTAAAATACTTACCTTTTGTAGTCATCTTGTTTCTTTGATCCCTCAATTTTTACTCTGAAAATAAAAACATGAGGTTAGAAATAGTATTTCAATCAAGATTTGTTTTAGAATGCAATTGATCAGTGAAGCTACTAGGTTTTAGCTATAGATATAAATTATAAATATAAACATGCGTTGAAATAGTCCCGAACTGCAATATTATCTAATTAGTTTTACAATATATGTCACCAGTTCCTTTTTTTGTAACAATTTTTCCGATAGAAAAGATGCAATCAAAACCTTTGTTATACGATTTTTCTCTCAAAGTAATAATATTTTCAGTACACTTTTTTAAAAGTACTTAAATTGATAAAATATCCTTTTCAACAAAATATTTTATTGATATTTTTAGCCACAACGTATGTAATATTTAACTGCATCGTAAGCGTTCCATAAACCTCAATCGATTCACAAACTCCTTCAACAGCAGGTGACCTTATAAACTTAGAAATAACTTAGCCAAAGTCTGCAGACGTTCCTTGAGGGAAACTTTCCTGATTTGCATAAACCAAACGACGCACTGCAATGTCAGTCGACGTTAAGAACATTTTGTACGAGTACATTTCGTGCTCTACAGTAAATTGACATGTTTTAGAAAATTATAATATGTTATCATTGTCTTTGACTTTTCTAGGAATCTTCGTTTATCATGTTATTGATCTTAAGTTACAGATTTTCATCTTAAGTAGAACGATGTAAAATTCTAGGAAAATACTTACAAAACGAAAGTTTCCTACTTCTTCAGTAAATTTCAATATAGGGAAGAATAAGCCAACAATGAATTGAGCAATTTTGGTTAGATTTTAACTAATTTCAAAAAGAATGTGTAGAACTGCGTACAATTGAATGATTTCACGAACCAGCAAGATCGGGTCATAGTGGTTGTAGGGTTCATTAAATGTAATATTTTTAAATAGCGAACAAGTATGATTTATATTTATAAATATTTTATTAAAATAGAATTAGACGAATTTAAATTCCCTTAGTCTGCAGGTTTGCTGCAGCTGTGTTATCATTTTTCTAAAACAATAATTGACTCAAATAATGTTTTTGTAAGAATTAATTATGTCACATTTCTTAAGGTTTGTAAAAAACTTTAAATTTCTACAAAAACTATTTTGGTTTTAACTCCATCAGTTTGCTTAACTATATAATGGAAATAACCGTGAACTTCCTGACCATGTCATATTCTAGACTCTCTCTCAAACACAGAATCATGATCCAGATCCTGGAACTTCTTAGAACATTCACTAATAAGTAAGCCTAATAGTTTACGATAATCTCTCACAAAATGTGTGAACACCAAAAGGAAATAGTGGGACAGTCCCAACCAAGGTAACGTTCCGCTAAAATAATGAAAACTAAAGAATTATCATTGAAACAACAAATTATAAACGACTACTATGGTACTGTGGTAACTCCAGTATGATAATGTAGTACATACCCTGGCGGTAAAAATTTTTAACTATACTCTCTACAAGTGACAATGTTGTCAGAGAGGTAACATGCCTAAGTTCCACTAGGCTTGTTAATTCAATTGACTCTTGGTGCTAATCATATCATGTTCATTAGTAAAGTTGTACCTGGAAGCGAAACTTATATTTCATCCTCAGACAACGTTAAACCTAACACGGTGTTTCAAACTGCCGTAAATTGATAGTAACGGAAATATTATTCAGTTTCTAAAAGGGGTTTCTTTAATTTTTAATGCTATAAAACACAGTAATAATTAAAAATGATTTTGATTAAATCGAATTTTTGTCGGGAAGACACGTTTAAATTATATATTTTTCATCAGTGTGTCTTGTATGACTTATATCAATTTCATATGTTGCTATCATTCAAAATTATATAGGAAACAGAAAAGATTCTTGTTTTAAATTTACTTCAATTTGGCAGTTTTGAGTTGTTTTGAAAGCTAAATAACCTCAACTAGCTAACATGATCACTTTTTCTTCGTATATGGTACATACATAATATTTCAAAACAGAGTTTAGCTTAAGCATATCGAGTTATGATTTTTATATTTGTAAAATTATTATTGCCTTATTTGTATGTAAACCAAGAATTGCAGGTTATATTCATGTAGGTTATTTTGCAAAAATTATATTTTATCATATTTGAAAATGTTAAGTTAATCCAAATTCCATATAGGGTGGTACATTTCCTATAATGCGTTTAGTGGTTTTGGGTTTACTGATTGGAGTTATTTCTCATACCGGTTTTCTATCTCATCTCCTCCACTAAAATCATAAATAAAAAAGTTAAGGGTCTTTATACATTCTGTCTATGTTATTGAACAACAATTGAGAAGAGTAACTGGATTTTTGTGACTATTTCATAATTATTTAAATATTCATAAAGTTATGTTTAAAAAACATAGAAAGACACTTAATGATGTCTAACTTTAACGCAGCTTATTTTTTTGTGATTGTTGTATTTTAATCATTTTATCACTAAATTTTATTACTCAATTCCTCTTTGAAAAAAGATATTGTATTGAAGAAATTTACTTTGCAATTATGTTTGAACCTTGAATGATTTGGAATATAAGGTCCAAACTTCGCGTTGTGCTATCTGGGTTATGCAAAATGAGAAACTTTTCAAGGAGCAAAGTCTCCAAATTTCAAGCAGTTTGTGGTAACTTCTACTACTGAGAAGCCAGGTGTTTCTTGAATAACATAGATTTAATTTCGTGCTAGTTGAATATTTCATACTTTCAAACTATATATAAGAATATACATATTTTTACTTTGTCATTAGAGGATTATTCAATACCAAAGAGTTTTTCTCATACAGACACCATTATTATTTGTTATTTATGGTAACAAACATCCATAGTAAAGAGCATATAAAGTTAAATAGGATCAAAGTATTAAATTGAATGTCTAAAACCTTTAGGGCGAGCAAAATGAAGCCCAAGGGAGGGGTTGTACAGACCAATTGGGATATAATCGTTTTGCGATATCAGCTGTGGTACGACGTATTGTGAGTCTGTCCTCTGATTCTTCGTTTCATGTTGGTTTCAGATTTGGTTGCCAAAGATTATTTTCGATGAGTTTGCCAACCATAAAACATATGTGCCTAATTCTCAGCAGTTTCCTTCCTATCAATAGTAAATATTTGTGTTTTATGTTTTCTTTATACTATAAAGTAGTTTACGGTTAAGCAATAAATGTTACGTATTTCTAATGTAATTAATCCAACTTATGAAAGGTTTTACATTCCAAAAGGTATAATCATGACAAACCCAATTAAAACTCATAGTTTGTATTGTTAATAATAACAATACAATAGTAATAGTTATAAATTCTTAGTGCACATTATTGCACATAATTTATAACTCAGGACTAGTGGTTCAAAAGCAATTATTAAAGTTTCAATCACCAAACTGTGCGTTTTGTGATAAGTTTGTGTTAACAACTCGTTGTAAGCTATGGTCTTCATTTCCGTTAAAACTAGCAATAAAAATACAACGGAGAGTTTCCCCATCTTATAATCCTTATCTTAGGGGGGGGGGGTTCCCTAGTTATAGAAAAAGTATGATCGACACAAATCCAATAGATGGCAATGGTTTGATAGCTATTTTTGTTTAGTACAAATATACTAACTCAGTTCAATTATAATTATTTTAGTTTCGGTTATTGTCTTTAATATAAAAAGTAAATATCTTACTATCTATATTATGTTGTGTACTTTGTCAAACCTGAATTGTGTATTCTAATTTATTTCACTTTTTATAACAGAACAAAAATGAAAATACAAGATATGGGTTACCCAACACATTTCACATGGTATAATACGATTGTTGATACCAGTAAATGCACTTTGAAGGAGAAGAGAGTAATTTCACAGCATTGTGCCAGTTCTAACGAGAACAACCGCGATAACCTCAACTAATAAATAGTCAGCGAGGCTTCAACCAAGCTTACTCAGCTCATTTGCTGTCTTAACATGACTTTTGATGGTACATATAATAATACTGTATAAGGTAGCTTACTAAACATAACTTACGTAACGGCAAACATTGATATGTGTAATAGCATTATTTTGTTTCAAGATTCGCAAAAGCCATTAAATGAAATGGAAAAGAACAATGAATTTCATGAAAATGTCAAAACCATTGACAATTGAATAATATATTTGATATTCCCCACGTTCGTAATGAATTCTGTCACTAACAAATTGGTAGTTGTCACTTTAAACAAAATCACCCAATATATTACACGCAAATCATGAAAAGTAGTTCCAGTTTCATTTCAATAGTAATAATAATTTATCACAAAACATAATGTGTCATTTAATTAGCTCTAAACAACTCTACTTTGTGGAGTGTGAGGTAAACAAACCAAAATTACTAGTGTACCTGTTGCTCGAATTCGAGCAATTGCGAAATATCACAGGTGTTTTAAAAAGTCATAATTTCCAATGACTTTAAAGAATCGACTCAAAAATTATGCAAAAACTCACGATGTACATAACAGTTCGATACAATCAACATTTCTTGTAAATATCTTATCAAAAGCTGATCTTGTTTTATAGTGTCTTCTACAAATGTTTCCCACTCATAGCTTCATTAGGTTGTAACATACATTAAATACAAACAAGTAGTGGAGGAACTTCCCCTCAAACCACCTGAATATGGTGAACGAAGTTACATTTATTTATATGTTTGTATTTATGTGTTTTATATTACAGTACCAAATATATGTTCCATAAACGAATTATTACGAATTAATAAACCTTATTACAACAATAGGTGTTAATACTGTAATTAGTTGTATACAATTTCTCACAATAAATTATATTCTACGAAACCTTATTGTACTAGATTTATATTTATATATAATTTAATATTTCGTTGAGGATTCTCAGAATAATAAACAGTAATAAACCATCAAAATGACACTATTATAAGCAATATTTCTAATCTATGATAATGCCAACTCAATAAGGGAGTCAATGGGAAAGCGGTGACACAATCGTAGAGTATTGGGTTACCACGAACAGCTGTT